AATGTCCTCTGCCTGCAGATACTGGAGGATTGCAAAAGCGTATGTAGGTTGATCAAACACCGAAACAAAAACAGTGCAAAGAAACATTCGCTGCAGAATCCATTTGTGCCTGCGGTTATGTGCCATGATATAAATGGCTCATTCTAAGGTAATAAAAACATAATGCTTTATTATGTAAGATCTTTACACACCACTGAAAACATAGTTATGGATATTATTTTGCATTTCTGTCGATAGATCCTCAGAAATATTACACACTGGACCTTTAAGTATTGTAGACAGATATTTTTTACAATGAATGTAAAAGCACCAGCACATAGCACAGGTGTGTAAAATATAACACTGTTCTCTGGTGATGTAAAACATGCTAATATACCTTTTGACAAAGGTTACAACACGTTGCAAAGTCAGTCACAAACCTTGTGTTCGACTCTGTTCCAGCCAACTTTCTATGTCCTTTTTTGTTTTACTTTGTATTTACTGTTTCATTTCTTTGTTGAAATTCTCCCCTCCTTCCTCTCTGCCTCTCTGTGTTTAAGGTGTGAGAGCACGGTGCAGCTCCAGCGGCTCCCGGACACTGACAAATACTGTCTGATTCTCCCTCCCAACTTGAAGTCAGCCATCAGTGCTGTGACATACATGGCCGAGCAGCTGAAGAAGCAAGACATGGACGACACGGTGAGAAAAGTGCACAACACGACACGCGCTGTCAGTCGGCTTGTTATTCAGTCTGTCTGTGGTTCTTAAGCACAGAGTGCTCCAAACAAGCCCCGACAATGTTCATGTGTCATTGCATACGTACAGTACATTGCTGACTCAGTGCTTACAGTGGGTGTTTTTGTTTATGTGTGTGTGTGTGTGTGTGTTCCCTCCAGATGACAGGAGACTGGCAGTTCATTGCCCTGGTGGTGGACCGTCTCTTCTTGTGGTTGTTTGTCATCATCACCACCCTGGGCACCCTGGCCATGTTCTTGGATGCCAGTTTCAACTACATACCTGACAACCCTTTCCCATAGAAGACAAAACACATACACACGCAGCTGGAGTTTGCGACATTGTTTGGTCGTCACTATTGGTGATTTCTGAGGTCAGCAGTTCTGACTTTCCATAAATACCTTAAAACCTATTCCATATTTCAGTTGTCGGCCTCTGAAATGTTTTGTAAGGTCGTGTAGCAGAAGAAAATGTGTGGAACCATGTGCACAGGCCTGACACACAACCTACATGATAACAGAGTCCATGTATAGATCTATAGAAGGTAAATGTATACAGTATGTTGTAACACCAAATGCTTTTGCATTGTTTGTTTGTTTTTTGTCTAAATCATGTATTTAACACATTGTGATCTTCGTTATTTGAGTCTAAATGCTTGAAATACATGTTTCTTGAAAGTGATAGTGATTGTTTTTTTTTAAGTGCCACATTCTTTATGAATGTGCTGTACTTTGTGGAACAAGCAGGAAAGCACTAGTTTTTGTTTGAATCTGTGTTTTCCTCTGCAGTGAGGACACTTGATGTTGCAATGATTGCAATGTTGGCTTTTTGGCAGTAGAGGGCAGTAATGTAATGACAATTAAAAAGATGACAACACTGCTGTTGAAAGAAAAATAGCAAAAGGTACACAAGTTATAACATAAGAATATAAAGTTTAACTGATGTCCATGAACATCTTATGAAAAGTCCATCTGTTTGGGATCTCAGAAACCAGAGCTATAAGCAGTCTGGTCACAAACACCAGAAAGGCGCTATACAAATACAGGGCATTTACATTCACAAGTAACAGCATACAAAACTTTCTTTGACGGTGAATTGCTTTTTGGCAAACTAAAAACAAAAGGTTGCCATCCAATGTGACAAAGAAAAGTGTTCTGCATGTTGAGACCACAAAGAGATACTAAATGACTACAGGGAGACATAAAACCACCTCAAAGAGACACTAAATGACTACAGAAAGACATAATACGATAACAAAGAGATACAAAATGACAAAAGAGAGACATATGACGACCACAAAGACAAAAAAAATGACTACTGAGAGACATGAAACGACCACAAAGAGACACTAAATGATTACAGAAAGACATAATACGATAACAAAGAGATACAGAATGACAACAGAGACATACGATGACCACAAAGACACACAAAATGACTACAACGAGATATGACTATGGGTATCAGTGCTATCAGTGCTATACTGACCCAAACTGAGTCAATTTGACACAATTATTTTTGGTTTATATGTTAGTGTTGTAATATGTTGTTTGCAGTGCGCTTCCTCATAGCTGATGAGGCTCTGATGAGGTTCTTTCCACAGTAACACTGTAGCCATTGTCATGCTCACTGAGGTGCCACAAAGAGCCACAGAGTCTGGGACTGTATTCATTGTTCAAACTGTCCAAATATGTTTCTACCCTGCATGAAGCACTTGCCAAGCTCTTAGGAGAAAAAGAACACCTCTTTACTATTGCCTCAGAGCGAAGACGAGAAGAATGAGTCCACAAGACCAAGAACACAACCTATTGGTCCTGTCCTGCTGCTGCTGCACAAAAGCCAAGTCTTGTTTCATAAGAAGACTGAAGGTGATAAAGACAGAGGACATGTAGAGAAGGGCGCCGTCCCCCTCATTTGTGCACTGTGAGCTTTTCAGGGAAAAGCCGTGGGCCCAGCGTGTTTTATTGCTAATGCCTCAGTGACTTCCAAGGGCACGTTAAGGACTTCAGTCCCTGGATTTGCACTCCACTTGCTCACTTCAGACCCAGAGTAGGCCTCAGGAACGGGAGGGAGAGCCCCCGAGACAATGTTGTTAGTGCCCTTCTTTGGGCTGATTTAGCTGTTTTTCTTCTTCAGCTTCTATTGAGTATTGAGCAACGGCTAAACCAGCGAGACAAATGTGTGTTTACGCTTTTAAAAAAAGAAAGTGGTAAAAGGGAAGAGCGGAGAGAGAGAGCAGAGGGGGGAAAGAGCAATGTTCTTTTTGTGTTCTTTGCAATCCAGGACCCGGGTGGAAAAGCGGCCAAGAGGACATCAGATAAATCAGGTTACTAGTGGCAACAGCACTGGTAGGCCTATTACGGGCCCCTGATCTTCTTCTAACTCACCTACCTCTTCTACATCTCGCCCATCTTGCTTTGTGCTCACCTTTCTAACCTTGTGTTTTTTCCTTTTCACCTTTCCTTTATTTGTCCCCTCTCACCTCGATCCCAACAACTCTTTCAACCTTCAAACCACCCCCTCCTCCTCTGCCTCGTCAACGTCTGTATCAAAGTGACACAGATTCCTATGGGCTCGTTCCTCCCCAGCAACAATGGGGCATTTGTTAGCCTCAGCAACTATGACTTGAGCCTGGGTACAGTATGAGGGTAAAGAGTAATAGTTAGAGAAGAGATGGGCCGAAAGGGCAAGAATGTGTGAAAATGAAAGAACAGTTGAAGGCAGAAGAGTGATGGAAAAAGAAAAGAGGGGTAACAGACCTCTGAGATCAATCTAGCAAAGCCTCATTACATTTTAAAATGGTAATCCAGCCAGTAGGTGAGCACATTCCCATTAACCTGACAGTGGGGATAACTTCCTTCAGGCTTATGGGTTATTACTTCCTCTCCCGGTGCTGTAGGACTATTGTTTAGCCACAGTGTGTGGTCACACATACTGCTGACCTCTGATATGGACAATGCCTGCTATTGTCTGTTGGCTTTTCTCCATTCACTGTAAGAAGGGGCTACAACTGGCATGTTAATGGACCGGATGGAAAATGATATGTTGTAAAAAAAATAAAATAAAATTTAAAAAATTAAAAAAAGAAGCAATATAAGAATTTAATTTTATATTTCTTGCAGTTTGTGAAATATCATTTAGGTTTAACTAGACTAAGACTTAAAGTAAGCTGGTGGCCCAACGACAGCCCACATCTACTCAGCATGAGGTGTTGTGCACCAGGGCCCCTTCAACACACCAAAATGGGAAGTAAGTCAGTACTTCCCATTGCGTGTTGTTCTTGTCCATTTGCATTTCCTTGAACTTGTTTTCAGTGTTTTTAGATACAAGTACAAGACATGAGAATGTATACACAACCAGTCAAAAGTTTTAGAACACCCCCATTTTTGTAGTTGAAATATAAGTAGTTCAAGGCCGGTGAAGATCTATAAATGGTACAAAAGTGAGCAGCAAACTACCAAAGTTAAAAACAATGTTTACATCACCAAAACAAACATTTTCAGAGATGTAAAATTAACAATTAAGGAGGTTTTGGTAACTTTTTCTAGTTTTTTTGTTCTCTTAAACTCCACCAGGAGGCTGGATGCATTCAGATGACAGCATCTCTGGCAGAAATAAATCATTCACCACAGTCCATCCGGTCACCTGCTGATCTGAATGCTACAAAAAGTTTACAGCTGGAGTTTTGGACAGTTTGTACGTTGGAACTTTCTCTTGACTTGATGAGTTTCTAGTGTTTAATGTTTCCACTCTTACTCTGCAGTTCACCTCACACCACGTCAACAACAGAGAGGTCATCTGCTCTGAGACAGTGATTAGTGATCTGTGGTGAAAGGAGGGTTCAAAGTTTAGTCTACTTTGTGAAGTGACAAAGACCTTAGTTATAGCATCAATCTGGGTCGGTGGGTATACTGTATTATGCTGTTCATTTTGGTGAGTTCTGGCAGATAGGAAGATAAAAATGAATCACTAAGGACTCTCCTTAATTTCCAGCTGTGTAACTTGAAAAAAAATGATTATATTATAAATATCCCTAAAAGTAGTCTGACATGTTTGCAGTAGATGGTCTACATTCGCTGAGAAGTTAAAAAGAAGTTGTGTTTGGTTGCTCTACATGAGTGTGTTACAATGGAAACACAGTTGAAAAGGTTAGAAATTGATAAAGAGAAGTGTTGAGTGGAAAGACGACCTGTTGCTTTGCTGGAAACAGAGGGGACATTTCCCAGCAGCTACTCCCCGCGACCACAGAGAATTGCGACTCCATGCATCAGCAGGCATGATAATTACACACCCACTTCACACCGTCACCCACATCTCGGACGCCCATCCCCGACTATAGACCCCCGGTACACAACTCACCAGCTATTCACGGACACGACCAGCGGCTTTCTGCACCACTTAAAGACAGCAATATCAGGAGCTTTACGCTTTGCGGAGGAGAGAGAGACACAGGATCCACCAACACTCATTTAAGATTACTTAGAGAAGGAGACTTTTTTGAAAACGATGGCCAACTCCGGCGTTCAGCTGTTGGGATTTTTCCTGTCGCTAATTGGCATCGTCGGACTGATCATCGGAACTATTCTGCCGCAGTGGAAGATGTCAGCATACATCGGGGACAACATCATCACAGCGGTGGCCATGTACCAGGGGCTGTGGATGTCATGCGCTTTCCAAAGTACCGGACAGCTCCAGTGTAAAATCTATGACTCCATTCTGCAGCTCGACAGTAAGTAATATGACCCGAGGGTCTTAAGAGGGCTCCTAAGTAGCCTAAAGAAATGTCAAATATCACTGCTAAAACCTCAGCTAACTGACACTAACTGAAATTCAGCTCCTTAATTTTTACAGTCTCTGATTCATCAGCTTCTCCACCTGGAGACCCACCTGGTGCATCAAAGCACCTCCTTCACCTGAGGGAGACCTCAATGGGCCCCAGTGTTTTCAGTGATTACGTTTGTGCACCTCAGGGTATAACCTGCTCATCACACCATAATTACTAACCACGTGGGCACTCTACTATCAGCCTTACAGGCCACTGTCATCTATCACTACAGCGGGACATTGTCCTCTTCATAAGACTTCCTTTTACAATGACAGTGGTAGAATTGAAATGATGAATCTCTAACCCTGAAAGCATTCCCTAGAAACCCCTCACACACGCACACACACACACACACACACACAGTCACATTCTGGGTAGCTCCCATCCACCTCTTAACATTACCCAAGCACTCAACACACATAACAGTAAGGCCTTATAGGAGTTTCAAGAGATGATTCCGTGATCCATGATGAAGCCTCTATAAGAGTGACATCTTCAAGAAAATAATTTGCATTTGAATAGATTAGCTGGCTCTTTCGTCGCTATGAATGGTTCTCTGTTTCATCACCAGAAAATAAATACTAACAAACACCTCAACAGGTGTTTGCTTATTAGGCTACGAAGATGTTGCCAAAATAATCAAACCTGTATAAGGAAGGTGACCACGGTAACTCCACTGCCACAGCACAGGCCTCTGAACATTCTGCTGTACATCAACCAGCACACATACACACCATGGTGCCATTACTTTTCTCTTGCAGAAATGTACAGAAATTCATAGCAACTTGGGTTTTAATGGTTAATAGTGCAAGCCCTGCAGTGAGACCTGCAAGAATCCTGCAGACTGTATTAGAGCTCTTCAAGTTTTCAGAGAAAAAAAAGTTGTTTGGCTAACTTTTAAATTCAGTTACAACTTGTCTCTTAATTTCTTTACTAATTTTGAGTGAAAAGTGTGAATTTCTCTGCGGATTTATCTGATAGAATCTCTTTTCTTTTGTTTAGATGTCGACATACTTGTTACCGTCTTGTGTTCACTTACAGTTTACGCAGTTTGCTTAATGCTGAGCTGGATTACTAACCAGGAAAACCTGGCCCACAGCCAATTTTTGCTCCATCCCTACATTGATTGAGGGTCTCCTATGTAACAATGTACTATGAACTGAGTAATCATAAGAAAACCAAACTATTTCCCAGGTGCATCTCTTTTTCTCTTCAGTGAATGGCAGCAGATGTGCTACATTTGTGAAGCAACTGTAAAGCAGCCATAGACGGCTCAGTAACAATGAGAACGGTGTGATGCATCCTGCTCACTATCTGCATTTACTATATAATCCACCCTATTGTTTCCAATGCCTCACTGTGTTTTAGAGATAACCCCCTACTCTCTCTCTCTCTCTCTCTCTCTCCCCTGCATCCTCTTCCCTTCTGCCTCCCTCTACCCATCCCTCAGTCCCTCCCTCACTGTTGGAGGGTTTTGTTTGTTTGGGCAGGGCAGGGATGGCCTAGACTGGCACAGACTGGTTCTAGGTGGATAGGAGGGGGGGGTGGGGGGGTCACCCTGTGATAGGTTTATAGGGTGAGGGCACTGACAGATGAGGTTTAGAACAGTGGTGTTTCAGCAGGCCTCCACCTCTCACCCAGCGAGGGAGGGAGACGGTGAAAAAGAAAGAGTGTGAGATGTGTTTTTTTTCTTTCTGTTTGTGTGTGCTGGTGTGTGTTCGTGTGTATCCCATGGTTTCCCTTCCAGGAAAAACTCCCATTAAAATGTCCTGACAGGCTAATGTGAATGTAATTCACAAACTCTGGACATACACATTGTCTCTCTGATGGGTCGAGGCCTGTTTATTAGTCTTTCCTCATAATTTCCCAGTTTGCTTCCAGCGTTGCACTTTGCATAAAGGATTGATGACTTGACTCGATATGCTCTTTGTGTTTTTTGCAAAGTGCAGTATTTATTAACCTTTTTAAACAACACGTCCTACATTCCACAAAACAAAAGGCCATCCATTCACTGCCTCCCCCTAACGGATCCAGCGTACCTTTCCTGTATTCTTCTCATACTCCCTTCTCTCTGTCTGCCCCAGGTTCGCTCCAGGCGACTCGTGCCTTGATGATAGTTGGCATCATTGTGTCCATCGCAGGTCTGGGTGTGGCCTGTATGGGAATGAAGTGTACCACCTGTGGAGGGAGTGAGAAGCTACGCAAGTCCCGCATCGCCATGACAGGAGGAATCATCCTACTAGTGGGGGGTGAGGATGCTGATGCTCCTTTACACATTTCACAGATTCGCCTGTAGGGTGATGCCGCTTATTCCACATTGGCCAACTTGATGCCAGATGTGAACATGTATTCAGATAAATTTAGCATTTCAGAAACTATGAAAAATAAACCATTTGTTCTTATTTAACAACCAAGCAATAGGTAAAACACACTGTAACTGATCACACAACAACAATGTCACTTACATTCCTTATGCATAATAATAATAATAATGTATTACATTTACTACATTGTTGATGACAATTAGTGAAATTTGACTCCGTTCAGATGGATGACACATTAAAGGGAAACCCAACATAGAGGTGTTGTTCCACCACAAGCTGTACTGGAGTGATGAACAGCATTCTTCCAAAATGTATTTCATCAGTTGCTTGAAAAACAAAATCAATCAAAATCAATTTTCAACTGGTTTGAGAGCAGGTGGATGCAAAGGCCATAGCATCCAAATCACGTGATTTTCATTGAATAAATCAGTGAACCTTGTACTGAAGCATCTGCATTCATTATGCTCCTTTGTCACCACCTGATATTTTACACAAGGTTATTTGTGTTTTCTATGGACCTGAAGTCCACACTTCTATAAAAATTCTGACAGGAATACAGGCTTTCACAATATTTAGGAAACACAGCCACCTTTTAAACAAGACTACGGGTACACATCCACGCTAGCAGCTCTTTTTAACTGTAGTTAGGCGACTTTGAGCTTAATGCTAATGTCAGCATGCTAACACGGTCATAGTGACAATGCTGCTAACATGCTGATGTTAATCTATACCATGTACTCCATCTTAGTGTTAGCATGTTAATGTTTTCTGCTGTAATTAGCACTAAATACAAAGTAAATTTTGCAAATAATTGGTCATAAAGGAATTCTTATGATGCCGTGATATGGAAGTTAAGGGATCACCAATGTGACTACAATTCATGCTGAGGAGGAGATAAACTTCTGTCCCAAATTTAACTGGCTGTCCATCCAATAGTTGTGTGAAAGTGGTAAGCACTTATAAGCATTATAGAAACATTTAATCAATGGTTTTTAACACTCTGTAATTTATTAACAATTATAACACCTCTTGTGGGCACCCATAAGTGGAGGCTGCTGTATTAACAGAGAATATGGTAAAACACAGTTTATAAAATATGTCTTCATAGGACAAAGTATAATGGACATTAATAAACACTTAAAATGTCCTTATAGTTGTGTATTACTACATTAGAATGTGCTTTAAATGTTTTTATACTGCTGATAATGTTAAATTGGAGGACTTAAGTATTACCAAAAAACTTTTCAAAAAATTACAAAAAAAGTCACTCAAAATTACAAATGTGAACTCAATTTTGGCGCTAGACTTAGAGGCATTCACCAAATTCTTTAGGATACATCAACTGGGAACCATGAATGTCAATAAAACTTTTTTTCTTTCCATTCCAAATTGTACTGTAGATATTGAGATATTTTACAGTAAATGAAAACTTTGACCCGCTTGTGGCGCTAGCGTAGCTGAAACAACAACATGTAACCCTTCCGATGAGAAAAAAAAACCTGCAAAGAAATCGACATATGATAAGAAATTGTAATATGATACCATGTAGGATAAAAGGCGGTGACTAAATCACTGTTCAGTCTATCATTTTCTGCTGTGTGTAAAATAACTCAGGCACAAGCTGACTCTTTGCTGACCACATGACATAGCCAACATATGGGAGCTCTGCTAATCCATATTGCTGTCTATGGGATCTTTGATAGTCAATACAACCCAGTTACATAAAATGTCATCAAAAATCCACCCAAACTTACCTCATCATCACATTTTTGCTTAGATCTTATCATACAGTAGGTAGGAGGAGATTTGATCCCTAGTCCAAAAAGCTTTCCTCCCACTCTTGTGGTCGAGCCCTCCAGAGGTCATTAGACTGAATGAGTCCAGTACTCCTGGCACTGATTCTAACATAAGAGGTCTAACGGGCTCTGAAGAGAACAGAAACTCTAAAAGCTAATTGTGCTGGGGTCAATAGCTAGCCGCCTATTGCCTATAAAGGGGATAAAAGCATGTCTGCTCTCACAGGTTGTGATGATGTGCTGATGGGCTCATTGATCTTTGTTGTTGACTTTCTCTCCTCTCAGGGCTGTGTGCCATCGTAGCGTGCTCCTGGTTTGCTCATAATGTGATCCGGGCATTCTATAATCCCTACACCCCGGTCAACACCAAGTGAGTAACACAAAAACATATTGTGTTCATGAACTGTAATTACAGGAATAATTGGACATTTAGGGGTAATTGCTCATCAAGAGTTAGATGAGAAGATCGATTCCACTGTCATACATGCTGATAAATGTGAAGCTACAATTTGTGGTATTTTAGTGATGTTATGACTACAGAAATTCTACAGATTTGAATATTTTTGATACTTATACTAGTACATGTTGCTGAATTTTGCTAATGCTGTAAATGTACTAAGCGTGTTAAATTTTGAATGCGACCTTTTATTTAAAACAAATACATTATTGTATTGCTGCTTAAAGTGACACATTCTTCTTCTTACAAATGGCACGATCAGCGCATGAGCAATGAAACACAACCTTGATCAATTCAATACACTTGGGGTTTTGTTGCTACAGTGTGAGTTGGTCTGGCATGACCAGAAGCTTATGGATGCTAATGTTAGCTTTAGAGTTAGTGCCATTTTTGACATTTATACAATAATTTTTCTGGCTTTATGACTCTTGTCCTCTTGCTACTCTTAACACTGCGTTTTAGCATTTACTGTTATCCCATAAATGACACAAGCAAAAGTTCCATAGTCTTGAAGACCTGAATACATCTTCCACCATTGGTTTCATCATTTCATCATAGGTTAAAACGTTTTCAAGGTTCTGAAGTCAAAAACATTTTAAACTGAAATCCAAAGTTTTCGTTGTGAAATAACTGCTCAATACCGTCTTGTCTTCCCCAGGTTTGAGTTTGGCGCTGCCATCTTCATCGCCTGGGGCGGCTCCCTCCTAGATGTCCTGGGCGGAGCCATGTTGGCTGCTTCCTGTCCACGAAAGAAACAAGTATCCAAGTACCCACCCATGGCCAGCTCCCGCTCTGGTCCGCCAAGCAGCACTAAAGAATATGTCTGAGAGCGCCCCCTACAGCTCTGGACTCCAACAGAAGCTAATGAAGAAGCTTACCCCTTTGTTGCAGCGTCGGCGAGGAGTAAAGCTGAAGGTGTATGGAAAGTTGTGAATCATAGAGGCAAAAAATTACTGAAATGGAACTTTCTTTTCTTTTTGTTCAGGCAGGTCTTTGATAACCCCTTGATGATCATGCAGCGCTCTCAATTCTTTCATGAATGATGTCTCTCACCCCGTCCACATATTCCACAATTGTTTACAAGTGATTTTCACAAATACATTATAATTGGATCCCCTGACTTAATAGTGAACCCCCGGGTGGGGGTGGGGGCACTTGCACTTCCATGCTGGAGCCAGCATCTGTTAGCATTTGCCATGTAATTGAAAGTAATCAATTCCAGTTTGGTGGCTAGGCTGTGACTCAGGGTGACAATACAGTGTTTTATATGACCTGTTGGTGGTTCTAAAATAGACGTTACGATGAGCAGGGTGCGACTTCACACACAGTGCTCACTGTGTAGGGTGACTGTATCACACAGGCCTTTTACTACAACAGTCACTACAGGCCCTGCAGCTCTTCATACCAGTCTGTTACAAACCCTGCTCAGATATGAAATATTTTATTATGTAGTCACCATGCCATTATCGCTCAGATTGCTTCCATATCAGCCACTAGGAGACTGAACTGCCTCTATTTATTTTGCTTTTGTTTTTTTTGCTCCGGTGTAGATTTATATAATTGGTAGTTTACTGTGTAGTTCACTTCTAGCTTTTAGAAATGTTAAAGTCATATTTTTATGAAGAGGTTTTATGCTCTGAACAATGTGTGCTTTTAAATTTAATAGTTTTATACTCTCGCCGCATGTAGCAAATAATGGCGTTTTTAACATGTCAAACAGTACATAAATAATAAAGACACTGCAACATTGTTAATTATGTGGTGGTCATAGCAGCTGATTATGCGGTAGTTCTTCTTCATTGTTAGAAACAAAGACACCAGTTTTAAGAGTATGTGACACAAACAGCAAATGCTCCACACGATGCTGTGTTACTAACTGCAGGCAACCAACCAACATGTGACTGTAGTCTGGTTGAGGAGTTTAAAGATTTGTACCTCTGTATATGTTCACATTTTATATCAGTCAACACAACAAATACAATTTTTGGGGGGGGGAATATGATTTGACAGAAAATTTATATTTGAAACTTGTGTGAAATGCTCCGCAAACCAATATCTGAAATGTGTGTTAAAGTTTAAATAACGTTATGAGTGCATGTGAAGTTTCAGAGCACAATTGGCACAGGTGCATCAGAACAATAGAGAAAAACTGCTAATTGGTGAAGTTAAAAAAGCACCCAGTGAACATGAAACACAAAGAGTCCACAAAGATTCATCTTTTATTTCCCGAGATGCATTACGAAAAGTCAACCGTTCCCATGCAAATGGTAACCACAACCCAAACAGCAATCTTTGAGTCAGAGAATGAGCTGTGAAATGCAGAGCTTCCATGACACACAAAAAAGTTAAAGTGAACCAGCAACAATTTCACAATGGACTAAGTAACATGACATCAGCATGAGCCTTCACAGACAATAATATGTCATTTCAAGGTCCACTGCAATCTTTAAATAACCCAAATGACCCAAAGAAGACATCAGTGTTAAGATTGTCTCAGCAGTGACAGCTAATCACGGGCTGCTTGTTTTCATTATCTCATACTGTAATTGCTAACTAAAGGTTGGCATAATCTTTAAATAGTTCACCTGAACCTGAAAGACATTGTGACGCCATCTGGGTGTAGCAACTATGAAGCAGATTACTACTGTAAAACCAAATAATAATATTAAATACAAAGTAAGTGTTGTTCATTGTAACATGTGTGCCAATCAGAGTCCATTTTAATGATCATTCTGATTAAACATCTAATATCATTTGGCAATTTCTTCAAAACATTTAGAACTCACAGTTGTCTGGCCAACTGGAAAATCCTGCCACCGAAAACAAACAAAGCCTCCATAAATCTGTTGTTGTTTATGATATTTTACTGCTGAGTCTGCAGCTAAAGCCAACAATGAGCTTAGGAAAATGTTGACTGCACAATCTAAGGAGCATAACGGCGGTGTGATCTGAAATACTACTACTTAGCCCTTAGTTACAGGATACCAGTTACGTGTTTTGATGCTTTAACAGACTCCATGCATAGAATTCTGCAACATGTCACTGCACATAACAGGCATTCCCACAAAGTGCACCATTTGGAAATAATAGTAAAAGTCAGTTTTAGATCACTGAAGCAATTTCCATTCGGAAACAAGTAAAAAACATGTAGAAGCCATAACAACACAACAATGTGTTTCTTCCCATTTCTGAAACAATAAATAATTAGCAGTAGTTTTTTTTCCTGTAAATAGCGAGCTTTCATCCACTGAAAATTAGTACACCACTTGCATCAGTGTGAGAATAGAGAATGATAGTCATTGCACAACCAAAGCTTAACATTTCACCTGTGTGATACACATTCCCAGGCTTGTGTTCCCTCACACAACCACCGATGAAGAAACAAGAAACCCTCACCAGAAAACAGGCAGGTGAGAGGCTGCTTCCCATCTATCGATCTGCTCAGTGCAACTTTAGAAACGTAGCCCTTGTTAAGAAGCTTTGAAAAATATAGACACTTTCACCAAATCTTTCTCAAGTCCTGATAGTCTACTGCCAACCGAGGTATAGAGTAGAGGGCGATGCAATACAATTCATTCACAGTCTGACCAAAAGTAAGTTAAATAAGAACTATGTACAATCAGTGCCTAGGCTTCAGCTGGCGCTAAATGAGCCACTTTTTGTGCCTTGTTGAGCCATCAGAAGCTTCAGTAGGACACTTGACGGGCTCAAGGCCAAGATCACTGACGGGGAAATTTGGCATCCCGGGTGATTTTCTTCTTTTGGCACTTCTTGGTGAAGTTTAGGAGATGGGAGACAGGGATACAGGACACTGCCCGTTGTTGTTCATGATGTCATCCAAGTCTTCATCTTCCAAGTCCACTGAGGAGGAAAAAGGTCAAAGGTCAGGAATGTGTGCCTCTAGGTGAAGAAGGGCTGCTGTATATCGATTGTGTCCATTCAGAGAAGATGAATTGGATTGGGTTTTTGTTAAATGGAATAATTCAACATTTTTGTAAAGTTGCTTTATTATTTTAATATTTTACAATTCACCACGCCTGTTTCAGAGGCTTACGTTTTGTAAAATACAATATTGACCAAATATTTCACATTTTCCTGAAAGCATTCTGATCCCTGAGGAAAGGAAAAGCATGGAGGTAATAAATGTTTTGTTCTAGTTATAATGTTTTTTAGTATTAAATGTTTACATGCAGGATATGGGGTAGTCGTTTTAACATCATACACCCTCAACCCCCATTTTATAATAAGAAGACCATTTACTTTCACTTTCTCCATATGGGTAATTTTCTAAACTAAACAAAACCAAAAAATCCCCTGCAAATTCTATTTCCCCTTTTGCTCTGAAGAGCCCTGCTGGTCTTTAGGCCCCAATTTAGGAACCACTTGATGTTAAAAGCAGATCACTGTATTCATTACTTGTTTTATTTATACGATATCATACTGACAAAGACAAAAAAAATGTAACTCAGACTATTAATTCACAGAACTATTTTACTAGATATGTGACTTCTGTGCCGTTTCCTGTCATATATCAGTGATGTACCTAAGGATTTCACTCGCTCAATAGATGACTAAGACAATCGTGTGTCTTGCTTTAGAGTATTGAAAGGCATCTTCTGAAAACAGACGTGGTTTTTTTGCCTTTAAGTCTTTTTCATTAGGATAGTACTGATTTTTCATGTTTTGTCTGTCCTTTTTATCATCCAGTATCGGATATTGTGTCATTAAGGTGGTGTTCATATGGGTGTAGCGGTTGCATGTTGACACTCTTCTCATGTAATTGTGAGCTTCGTTAAGTGGTGTTGATTTAAATTGCCACCATGTACATGTTTACATGGTCCCGCAGGCTTAACAGTGATACAAGATCTTGTTGGGAAGCAAACAAACAAACTACTTTAAAAAAAAGTACCGCTCACTCACCTTTCTTGGTCCGACCTATCTGGCCCAGCTTGGGTGCCCTCTGCCCGAGTCTCTGAGGGTTGGCCCCACCGCCGTCGCCGTTGACCTGGGGGTGTCCCGGGTTGTACTGCCCCGCCGGACCCGGCTGCCGGGGCGGCCCGCTGGACGGGATGAGCTCTGGGATACCTGAAGCTCCGTACATCGCTGGTGAGGCGCCTTCTCCCGATTGGCCACTAGATGTCCGCACAGCCCAGGCTTTGTGTCGCGTCGAAAGGCTTCTCACTTCCGCAATGGCATTCAACAACGAATGTATGAACAACAGACGACAAAATGTTGGAAAGAACAGAGGGAAAGTCCTCGTCGCCTGTGAAAGAAAGTGAATACGTTTGTCAAAAATAGCCCTCATGCGTCAGAGAGCGAGCAGCTTTTGGGAAGTGCGTACAGACACTTCCCCGCTGTTTATACTGAAATAAGCGATGTGCCCGTATATGTTTTCTACTCTATAATTCAACTAACAAGTGTAGCAAATGCCTTCCTGGCCATTACAATAGGTGAACAGCACAATAACGTGTCTTCCGTTTGGTCTATCTCACTATACTCACTGTAATGAACTGCTTTTCCGCCCGCTTCTAATATCACCGTAAACTGATCTCTCTCCACACAATCCTTTTAAAATAATGTTAAATATCATAAAGATTACCTCACCTCTTCTTCACCGAGGCCGCAGTAAAGAGCTGAATCCGGTAAAAGCGGCTTCTGGGAACAGTGTTGTTGTTTATCAGAGCTCTCTCTCTCTCGCTCGCTCTTGGCACAACACCGAGGAAGCGTCGATTTAAAGGGGCCTCTCGTCGTTTTCTCGGCCTTGGGGATTTCCTCGTATTGTGTCTTGACTCATAGCGGCATGTGGACGTCACCGTGCGGTTGATACAAGTGACAGTGCTGACACTTTGGATTATACAGTGGAGGTGTGCCAAAGGGCGCAGTGCGTAATTACGCACCTTCAGTAATGAGAGAGTGACTCAGTCGCCAGCCAATGACAGGCGCTGCTCAAAAATCCCCATACATAACTATTACTGTACTTTACCTAACCCCCTAATGTCTGGGGTAGCAGTTAACTCAGCACACTTAACTGCGACTCAGTAGTCCATATAGAAAAAATTTTTTTATATAAATATATAATAAAATAAAGAACTTTTAGTTCACTATGTTGCAGATTTCCTGCTTTAACATCATTTACAACCAAACATTTCACACGTTTAAACAGTTAAGTGCTCATTGACTTTTTGCTCAGTTAGTTGTGAAAGGACTCACTGGTCTTGAACCATTGACAGTGTTGTGTCTGTATCTGTTTCCTCATTGATTTGTGTTTCCCCATACCTTGGTCTGAATCCAACACCTCTGCAACACCTAACCATAACCTAATTTATTGAGACCTATCCGAACCCACAGAGGGCAATCCTGGGGTATGAAGGACATCATTCTTGTGTTTTAAGCTTTACTTTTGCCTGCAATTAGGATGAAAAAATACACACACACACACACACACACACACACACACACACACACACACACACACACACACACACACACACACACACACACACACACACACACACTTTTACTTAGGTCACTTCATACTTTCATTTCCTGGAGACTTACCCTAACCATAACCACTGACCCATTTCTAATTCCCTTTTTTTCAATCCGTCACCAATTAACTGGTCTTTAGTGTGTCTTAGTGTCCCCGAAGGTAGCCCAAGTAAGAACACACTCACACACTATGAATGATGTGTTGAAATATGACTGGGTTGTGACTGGCCATTAACCTTCACTTTGCTCTAAACACACAAACATACAGACACACACCTACACACACACACACACACAAACACAACTTGCTGTCTTCATAATACACATTTGGATACTGTATTTTATCTAATGTTGTGTTATTGCTAATATTACTGTTTTTGTGTATTGTCCAAATATTTGGCCATTTCGTACTTTGATGCTCTGGCAAAGTTGTTGTGTCACGCCAATAAAGCCTTTGAATTGAATTGAACTGAATATAGTCGGTGTGATGTGTTAGAGACAGAATGGCTTCATGGAATTGCTGTTCAGCATTTGACCTCAGAAAATACAGTAGCTGTGGCAGACTCTTGCCTGCACATGGGAATCCTTGGGATTGTTTATGTCCAGGCTTG